CCTTATAGGTTTATACCTTTATTAAAAAAGATGTATGTATATTCAGTGGGGTTTGGGAAGAGGATGAAAATAGATGAGTGTTTTTGTCTTTATCTGGGAGTCCTATGTCTTTATGTGCACTTATTTTATCTCCTTTAATTATACTGTAAACCTCTTGATTTAGCTTGAGTTAGGGATATAATTCTTTACATCCCTCTAAGAAACTAACTTAGTGCTTTCCACATAGTCTATAATAATCTGTTGTTTGACTTGTAAAGTAAGGCAGTGATGCTAAGTGATTGATGTATATAACAAATTGGTAATCATTGTAATCCCAAGGCAATTATTAATTTACTGTGTGCCTAGAGCAGACATTTATATATCCCTGTATTAATTCTGTTCTTGCACATTGAGAATTATTGATAGTCTAGTTATTTAGATACTCATGCTATAATAAGTTAATATATTATAGTGTGAAAATGTCCTCACTATGAGGTACTTCAAAAAGTTAGTGGAAAAATAGAATTGAAAGATAATACAAATCTTCCCATGAACTTTTGAAGTACCCTCATATGTTTAAAGTTTATTGATAGTAGAGTCCATTATCTAATTTGCATGTATGTTTCACTTCACTAGGGATTTCTTAGGGTAGCAACCACTGAGGAGTAGAAATGAAGATGGAGAATGAGAAAAAGCCAATCACGATATTTGTTTCCCTCCCTTTCCTTCCCTGTTCTTTCTGTTAATTAATATACTCTTATCAATGAAATACTTAATCATACTTTTCCTAATCTGATGTAATCCTCTATAGTAACTCATGTAAATTAGCTATTTAATGTTTAATTTAAAATAATGGCTTCTTAAAATAGTATACGCTGTAAAGTTTAGCCTTGATAATAAATGAAAATACGTACTCTGACAGTTTAATCAGGGGACAAATATATATCTATTAATTAGCTTGTCTTTCTAGTCCTAACAGAGGCTTTACAGAAATGCACTGTATGAGTGGCCACTCCAATTTTGTATCTTGTGTGTGCATCATACCCTCAAGTGACATATACCCTCATGGACTAATTGCCACTGGAGGAAATGACCACAATATTTGCATTTTCTCACTGGACAGTCCAGCACCACTTTATATTCTAAAAGGTCACAAAAATACTGGTGAGTATAACACTTTGGGATCTTTCTGTTTTAAGAAGTTTCATCCCTTTGAAAATAAAATTCATGTATACTCTCAAGTTTTTATTATATCTCGTTTTACCTATTGTTGTGGCTTGATAGTGGAAGCCTTTTTGGATCATCTTAGTTCTGTAAATTCTTTGTTAAAATTTATTGTCATCAGTTAAGGTTGACATGCTTATATATGTAAAAAGTAAAGTGTTCGGTTATAAAAGGAAGAGGCTGTATAATTCTAATATACTTCATGATTTTGGTTTTCAACTATTTTGTTCAACAAACTCATTTACTCAGGAAAAGTAAGGGCATTTCTTTATCTTTTGGCTGTTGGTCTGTATTTATGCAGCAAATTGAAGACCTAGAAGGTATATGTTTAGAGCTCTGGTATCATTTAGAAACATTAAAAACAATTTTTT